GGGGGCGCGGTGCCGCGGGGCCGCCTCCCGCCCGCCTCCCGCCTCCCGCCCGCCCTCCCGCGCGCCGCCGCGCTCCGCCCTCCGCGTCGCCGCCGCAAGGGGGGGAGGGGGCGCCGGTCCTAGGTGGGGCGGCCGCACGCACGCCCAGGTCGCCGCAGACCCCCTCTCCACTGTGGAGCGCCGGGGTCCAGCTTGAGCCCCGGCCCCACCTCTGTCCCTCCAGACCACGCCCCAGCGGCTTCTTGACACCCCCCCCCACACACACACACATACACCAGCTCTCTACATCACACCCTCGGAGTGGCGGGTCTTACCTCCTTTGAGACCCCAGACCATGTTGGTAAGCCACCTGGAAGCAAGACTGTGTTCTACTCCGTTTCGCGACCTCAGATGGGGGCGGGGGTGGGCACACCCTGTCAGGCAACCTAGACCATACACCTCTAATTCCAGAGGGACCTCAGATCATATCACAGCATCCCAGGGGATCCAGATCCCACCCCCACGCCCATACCCAACACTCAGATGGCCCCCAGACCACACCCCAAAATCCACATAGGACTCAGACTATATGTCAGTGTCCAGAAAGAGCCCACCATAGCTTGACTCTTTGGGGAACTCTGGGAAACCAGACCGTGTTTCATAGCCATTCAGAGAAAAAACTAGGTCCAACCCCAACAAGGTCCTTCCTCCATAAGGACCTTCATTTCCCTGCCCACCAGGAGGAACTGTAGTGATGGCTAATGTCTAAGGGACCCCAAACTTCTCTTCTGCCCATGGAAGACCCTTAAATGCTTCTCATTCCCCCAACTATACCTCAGGTCATCATCCAACACCCTTGGGGACCTTGGAATTGTCACCGTTCCTTTCAGCCCCCCCCCCCGGTTTATCTGCCCCCATTTCCCACCCATTCCTAGCAATCAGTCCTGCTACCTTCAGCCCTTTCGACCTCTGTGACTCCCATGGATCCCAGAATGCCTTGTTTCTTCCTTCTTTCCACTAGAGTCCAGCTTCTGCCCTGCACAGAGCTGCCCTCCTCGTCCTTTCCTTAGAGCCCATGGGTATCTCAGGCCATGTTGTATCTCCTTTTGAGATACACATAGGAACCCCAAACTCAGCAAAGCCTTCCCTCAAAATCTAATCTATCTTTTTGCAGCGCCAGTGTCTCAAACACTTCCCATTAGGCACCCCCACCATGAAACTCCTCCCCCAAGCCCTGTAAATCCTTCCTAGGCACACTCCCAGAACCAACTCACCACCACAGATCTCTTCGGTGAATGATGGTTCAAGTCAAAACCAAGAAGAGCCCCAGGGGAGCTCCTAGTCTCCCCTCTCCAGATTCCACCTGTCCACACCCTCCAAACACCAACGGCACTCCACCTTCTAGCACTACAGCTTTGAAGAAGCAGAGCAGAGAGACTGGGGGAATCACTCAGCCTGTGAAGCCCTTGCCGTGCAGCAGGAAGGATGGTGGCTGAGACAGGCAGATCCCTGGGGCTTTCTGGCCACCCAGTGTAGCCTAACCTGCTAGCCCTAGGTCCCAGTGAGAGAATCTGTCCCATGAACAAAGTAAAACCTGTGCTGGAGAGATGGCTCATCTCTTAAAAACACTGACTTCAAATGGACCCAGGTTCAATTCCCACCACCTACCTACATAGCAGCTCACAACTCTCTGTAATTCCAGTTTCAGGGGGATTCAGCTCCCTCTTCTGACCTCCACAGGCACCAGATCGGCAAGTGCTACACAGACATTGTACCCGTACACATAAAATTTTTTTTGTTCTGGGATTAAAGGTATCACCATTGCCCATGCATATGACTTTTTAAAAAATACTCATTCTAATTTTCTTTTTTTATATTTATTTATTTTTATTATGTATACAATATTCTGTCTGTGTGTATGCATGCCTGAAGGCCAGAAGAGAACACCAGACCCCATTACAGATGGTTGTGAGCCACCATGTGGTTGCTGGGAATTGAACTCAGGACCTTTAGAAGAGCAGGCAATGCTCCTAACCACTGAGCCATCTCTCCAGCCCGGCATATGACTTTTTACAATTCAAAAAAAAAAAAAAAAAAAAAAAAAAAGATGGACCACTCCTAAGAAAGAACACCTGAAGTTGACCTCTGGCCAACACACACACTCACACATGTACATGCACATACCACACATAAGGGAGCAGGAGAATCACGGCAACAAACGTGAGCATAGATGCAGCCATACTGCAGGTGGCAGTGGTTCCGGGGCCTTCGGGTACAGAGGAGCTGCCCTGACTATCCCCATTTCACAAATGAGAATCACTGAGGCAGACAGAGGCTTAGTCCCCTGCCCAGGGTCACACAGGTCAATAATAAGGGGCATCATAGCATAAAAATGAAGGGAAAGAGGGGTGAAGTCAGGCTGGGGCTGGAGGTGAGGGGAAGAGGGAGGATAACGGAGACACGACGGCTAAGTGAAGAGTCTATGAAGCAGGCAGGGGTATGGACCACTGAAAGTACCACACTGCAGTTCCTAACTAGAGCCCCAATTTTTGCAGCAGACTTCCAATACAGACTGATAACCAAGCCTATAATTCTTCACCAATTCTGGTCCTACCTGCTGCCTCTTAGGCCCCGCCCCAAAGCACAAATCCCACTCTATGTAATGGGCTGGCCCCAAATTTGTTATGTAAACCAAGTTGCCTCTGCCTCTCAGTGTGTGGACTAAAGGCGTGTGCTACCATGCCCCGCCTGAAACTCTAGATTCTTAGTGAGCAAGTAAATAATATCCATCCTAGGCCCCGCCCACAAATACAAGCCCCACCTCTTCTGAGTAAACCACACCCTCCATCTTTGCCTTCTTGCCCTTTAGAATCCTGACTTTCCGCCTAGGCTGGGAGTCTTTATTCTGTGCTAAATCCCTTCTGAGCTTCTCAAACATAAGCCCTGCCCCCATGTCCAAGAATAGAAAGAAGTTGCCCTGGGAAAACATAGAGTGCAGATTCGAAACAGAGAGCTTGGGCTGGCGAGATGGCTCAGTACCCACTGGCACCTCTGGCCAAGACTGAAGATCTGAGTTCGATCCCTGGAGCCCACAAGGTGGAAGGAAAGAAGTCCTGAAAGTTGTCCTCTGGCTGTCCCGCGTGAACACACACCCGTGCACACATACATACATACATACATACATACATACATACATGCGTACATACATTAATAAAATACATTACATCAATAAAAAGCCCCCGTTATACTGACTGACTCTTCATCAGATAATCTGTTCTGGACCCTCTGATTGGTTCTTGCTTTCCAAACTTGTTCTTGATTGGGCGAGTCCCATACATCACATCCTAAAAGCAAGTTCAATTCTGAAGGGTAGGGTAGGGAGGAGGGAGGAGGGAAGGAAGGCAATGGCTACGAGATTCTTTCCTGAAACTGTGCAGTGTGGCCCTTGGACGTGTGATAGTCTGTGGCTTCAGCTTCTGTGCCTCGGTTTCTTCATCATGGCCACCTACCTCTTCATCGCGCGCGGTGTAGGAATTAAGCGGTCGCCTGTATGGTACCTGTATTTGTCAAGCATTTGTGGTCATGAGTGTGTAATCTCAGACAAGTCTCATTGCCTCTCTAATCTTGGCAAGCCAGGGGTTCCTTGACCTCTTCATTAGATGTCCCCGTGATCCCCCAGACCTCTCTTCCCACCCCACCCCCAGCCACTGGGGACTGAGATTGTGATCAGAAGTAGCTTGGGGCCAGATAGCGGTGGCACACCTTTGATCCCAGAACCCGGGGAGGGAGGCAGAGGCAGGTGGATCTCTGAGTTTGAGGACAGCCTGGTCCACAGAGAGTTCCAGGACAATCAAGGTTACCCAGAGAAACCCTGTCTCAAAATTTAGGGGAGTGGGGCCTCTGGCAGGGAGGAGACAAGCTTGATCCAAAAGCCCCCAGAACAGGGAAGGCTAAAGACATTTCTCCACGCCCAGTTTAGAGATACGTTCTCCAGAATTTCTCTGGGAAGGGCTTGTCTTGACTGGAGACAGGGAAAGAAGGGGGAGGGTGGGGCAAAGAATCTGAGGGAGCAGGAGAGGCAGGCCGTGAATTCCCTTCTAGGCCCATCCCTAGAAGCACTAGGGTTGGGGGGGGAGGGACAGATCAGGACCAAGGTCACTGTGTCATTGTTACCATGGTGATGGCCACCTCTCAACAGGGAACCTGGAAAAAGGTGGAGGAAGGGAGTTCTAGCCCCCCCCCCCCCCCCGTGTGAGGACTGAGAAAATCTGGGCGATAGTGAGCGTAGCACAGGAAGTAGATCCACCTCTCCCAGGACGGCCAGGCTCAGAGCCCTGTATACCCTGGGTGCTGAATACATGGCCTTCAGAGAGAAAGGTCTGAGAGAATTCAGTGCCCAGAGGTCCTGGAAGAAAAGAAAGAGAAAAGACAAGAGCGTAGGGAGTCTCCCCTTCCCTGAGTCTTCAAGCCCTCTGGGGTTCACTGAGCCCTGAATCCTCTTCACTGCCCACAGTCCTGGGCCTTCAGGCTTGTCCAACCTTGAAGCTATCCATCTCTAGCATCCTCCTGGTGCCAGAAGCAATTACAGTTTGATATTTTGATATATATCGGCCTTTAAATTCTTCCTACCTGAGGGCTCATCTGAGACACATAACATTTAGTACCAAAATATGCCTTCTAATCCCAAAGTGGAAGAAGAGGTGAAGAGAGGGGATACTGCACTTTCTCCTCTCAGGGGCCTTTTCCCTCTTAGGAGTGACCCCTTCACAAATTCTAACTTTTCCTCTCAAAATTCCCTAAGGGAATCCCGGCCACCCCGGTTTCCCATTCCATCCCAGGAAGCTCCACAGTCCCCCTCCCTTGGTGTCTAAGAAACAGGTGTCTTTTCCTCCCCGGGCCAGTTCTGTTCCCCTGGAAACGTTCGCCGCCTGCCGGCCACAAGTTGGAACTGCAGAGACTGTCGGCCCTCACGGACAAAGAGGCATCAGAACTGCATCAGAGCCGAGTTAAGGGTCGCTAAATTCCTGATTTTTTAACGTTTATTTAGCTCTTGGATGTTCATCAGCCAAGGAGTCTGAGTATTCAAGCGTGAAGATTCCATATCCCTGGCTCAAAGGTCAACGAAAGAAAGCTAACTTTTCTTGAAGCCAGGACTCCGTGAGGTCCTCTGTGGTGCGGATTTCAAACACCTGGGTAGAGAGAAAGAGGTCTCAGCATTATGATCCAGTGAGGCTTCCTGACCCCTCGGACTAAGGAGCCCAGACCCAAGCCCTCTTCCTTCAGACCCAGGAGCTCAGACCTCCAATGTGCCTCCTCCCTCAGACCCTGGAGTCCAAGCCCAGCTCTTCCCTCAGATCTGATGATCCAGGCCCAACCCTCCTCTATCAGATCCAGGGGTCTGCTCCACAGTCCCAGGGGCTCATCCCCTGGCTTCCTCCCCCAGACCCCAGGGTCACCCAGCCTCTCCAGAGCTGGGGCTCCCTCTGGACCTTCGTAAGCTCCGCCGTCTGCACCAGTCTGTTTTTGCTCCCCGCGTACATCATCTGTTGCTCAGGCTTGCAGCCTGTGTGGAGAAGAGAACGGGTGTGGCTGGGGGCACGACTCCGGGCTGGTAAAACTCTAGCCGTCATGAAGACACTGCAGTTTAAGGAGGATTGTAGCGGGACCCTGAAGGCTGTACTCAGGGTTTCTAGATTTGTTTAGGAGCTTCAGGTTACAGTGAAGGTGTCTAGGAGAAGGAAGATTCAGGCCTCTGGTGGGGACTTCCTGGTAACATGAACAAGAATGTGTGTGCTCTTGACGAACCTAAGTGCCTACCTCCACTAAACGACTCCCACATACAGCGTACCCCACACATATACATGATTACACGTTTTCTTCTTAGACAGGGTCTCACTACGTAGCCCAGACTGGTCTTGAACTCACTGTATAGACAGGACTGGCCTTGAATTCAAAAAGATTTGCTTGCCCCTGCCTCCTGGGTGCCGGAGCTAAGGGCTTGAGTCATTGAGTCACCGTGCCTGCCCCGTTTGTTGTTTAGATAAGGTTTCACTCTGTAGCCCAGGCTAGCCTGGGACTCATCCTCCTTCAAGCCTCAGCCTCCCAAGGGCTGAGACTACAGGCAGAACACAACTATGTCTGGCTACAGTACCTTCAGGGTACTTTTTTTTGGAAGGGGGTTGTTTTGTGTTTGTTTGTTTGTTTGTTTGTTTGTTTGAAACAGGGTCTCTCTCTATAGCCCTGGTTGTCCTGGAACCTACTATGCAGACCAGGCTGATCTCAAATTCACAGTCTGTGTGCTAACATTAAAGGCATGCACCAACATACCTGGCTACAATTATACCCTTGTGTTCTTTTTTTTTTTTTTTTTTTTTTGATGGTGCTGGGAATAGAACTCAGGGCTTGCAGCATACTTGGCTGGTGTTCTACCCATATCTATACTTATAGGTGCCTATACCCACTTACATACACCTTCATAGCCATACACACACCCGCATGCACACACGCACGCACTGCTCCTCGGCATCTAAGACCCTTTCCTCAGGACAGTTAGAGCCATGTCTCACCCACGGGGCTGGAGAAGATGAAGCACAGAGGGTAAGACACCCTGCCATCGGCATGCACGTACTTGTAGCTGTAAACCACGAACCTACGGCAGAGAAAGGAAAGTCACACTAGGACCCAGGAAGCAGTCCAGTCTCTGTTCTTTGAGTTCATGTCCTCGGATCCAGAGCTGATCATGGCAGCACCCACCTGTAATCCCAGCACTTGCGAGGGATACAGGAGGAGCTGAAGCTGAATTAACCTCAGCTACACAGTGAGTTTGAGGCCAGCCTGGACTTTATCAGTTCCTGTCTCAACTACTTTAAAAAATGTAATTTAGCTGGGCAGTGGTGGCACATGCCTTTAATCCCAGCACTCGGGTGCAGAGGCAGATGGATCTCTGTAAGTTCAAGGCCAGCCTGGTCTACAAAGTGAGTTCTAGGACTGGCTCCAAAACTACAGAGAAACCCTGTCTCAAAAAACCAAAAAGAAAAAAATGTAAATTAATGTTGAGCATTCTCAGCCACGGGGTTATTCACTTGGAGTGCAGACGCCCAGGGAGATGCCCTGGAACATGCGTGTGATGTGAGACTCGTGCTGGGCCCCACGCTTCCCTATCCCAGCAGTGGGACCTTAGGGCACAGCAATCACAAGGAGATGCTGAGAGCTGGTGCCTGACCCAGGAGGTGGAACTGGATGTGAGTCAAGATGCTAAGCACCACCGTCCAATGGGTCAGATTTCACACAAAAGACAAAGTCTAAGCTAAAACTCGGAAGAACATCGGCATCGAACCTCCCAGGGGCGAGGCCCAGTTCTGGGCCCTGGGTCTTTGCAGATATCAAAGGTCCCTGAGCCTGGGAATGAGGTTCAAAACTGGAGAGACCAAAATAGAATTGAGTCGAGATGAAAGATGTGGACAGACCAGTTTGAGTCAGGCACAGTGGCATAGGCCTGTGGTACCAGCACTCAGAAGGCTGAACCTGGCCATTGCCTGTGGTACCAGCACTCAGGAGGCTGAGCCTGGCGTAGGCCTGTGATACCAGCACTCTGGAGGCTGAGTAAGAAATGGATGGAAATCAGAGAGGACAGGGTGCATTTGGGAGGTAGAGGCAAGACCTGGAATTCATTTATTTATTATGTATACCATTTTCTGCCTGAATGCATGCCTGTGTGCCTGAAGAGGGCGCCAGATCTCATTAAAGATCACAAGCCACCCTGTGGTAGCTGGGAATTGAACTCAGGACCTCTGGAAGGGCAGCCAGTGCTCTTAATCTCAGAGCCATCTCTCCAGCCCAAGACCTGGAATTTAAAGCTGTCCTTGGCTATATATTGAGTTCAAGGCCAACCTGGGATACCTGAGACCATTTTTCAAAGGAACAGCAAGAGGAGCTGGAGAGATGACTATGGTTGAGTCCTTTTATTTCCTTGCACAGGACAGCAGATGAGTTCCAATGACCCATACCAAGTGGTTCACATACACACATATACATAAATAATAAATTTCAAAAAAATTTATTTTGGTTTCTTGAGTCAGTCTTTCTCTGTGTAATAATCCTGGCTGTCCTGGAACTCACTCTGTATGTAGGTCAGGCTGCCTCTGCCTCCTGAGTGCCAGGGTTAAAAGTGAGCACCACCAGCACCCAGCAAATTTCTGGAGATATGTCCCAGCATTAACAATTTTTGCCCTTACAGAGGACTAGGTTCAGTTCCCAGCACCCACAAGGTGGCTCACGACACTCTGTTCTAGGGCATCCAAAGCCCTTTTCTGGCCTCTGAGTACATGTAGTGCATAGACATACATGCATACAAAATGCCCATACACATAAATACAAAAAAAATTTCTGAGACAAGAGCTCACTATCTAGCTCTGACTGTCCTGGAACTCGCTCTGTAGACCAGGCTGGCCTCTGACTCACAGATATCCTCCTGCCTCCGCCTCCCAAGTGTGGGATTACAGGTGCTGTGCCACCAAACCTCGCCTTAAATATTTTTTAATTTTTAAAATGTCCTCCTGGTTTGTTTACTTACCCTTTAAAAACTATTAGCATAAGGACTGGAAAGATGGCTCAGAAGTTAAGAGCACTTGCTGCTCTTTCAAAGACCTAGGTTCCATTCCCAGTACCCACATGGTGGCTGACAACTAAGTCCAGGAGATCCTATGTTGTCTTCTGATGTCTACGGGCACCAGGCACACATATTGTACATAGACACACCTACAGGCAAAATACTCATGTACATAAAACAAAATAAATAGATCCTTATCATACTAGTGTAAAATTCTGTAATAAAATATTATCAAATCAACAAAAATTTCTAGACTATGACTTCATGGCTTCAAACTCAGAGATCCTGAGCACATAGACAGAACTGGAGACCCATGGCTCCCCAATTTGTAGGTCTTTTATCACTCCCTACCCATAGTCCTCCACACCACCCTTCCCCCAGGATTCCTACCTGGGTTGTCTCTCTGGCAACTCAGATCTAAGTTCCTCTGGAGAAATGTTCTGAGAGAGAGAACAAATGACCATCGTTCAGTTAGAGAAAGAGAGAGAGAGGGAGGGAGGGAACAAATAACCATCATTCAGTTCATTAAATGAGCACTTGAAATGTGATCGTTGTTCTAAGAAGCGAAGCGTGGGCAGATTCATTGAGTTTTCTCAGAACCATACGGGGAGGTCTTATTATACCCACTTGCCAGCTACAGAAACTGAGGCACACCAATGTCAAGGGACTTGCTCCACATTGCACAAGACAGTAAATGCCAGAGTTCCGATTTGAATCAGTGTTCCCATGGTAACCACTGTACTCTACTTCCTTTCAGGGGGCCCAAGGAAGCCCAGCTCCTCCTGGTCAATACCCTCCCTTGCCAAGAGCCTCAACCCCAGAAAGAAGGAAGGAAGGCAGGCTAATGCTTACAGCGAGGTCACAAAATGGAAGGCTTATCCAGTTATACAGGGTTGTTGGTGGCTTTGAGCTACCTTATCTAGAACGTAAGCCCTAGGTGCTGGCTAGTTTTATGTCACCTTGACATCTGAGGGGAGAAAACACAGTTGAGAAATTGTGTCTATTAGAAGGGCTGTAGACAAGCCTGTAAGACACTTTCTTTAGTGATACAGGAAGACTCAGACCATTGTGGGTTGGGCCACTCCCTGGGCTGCTGGTCCTGGGTTCTATAGGAAGGCAGGCTGAGCAAGCCATGGGAAATAAACCAGTAAGTAGCTCCCTCCATGGCCTCCACCTCAGCTCCTGCCTCCAGGTTCCTGTCTGTTTTGAGTTCTTGCCCTGCCTTCCATCAGTGGGACTATGATTCAGGATATGCAAGCCAAATAACCCCTTTCTCCCCAGCTCATGTGGGTCATGGCGTCACAGCAATAGTTAACCCTAGCTAAAATAACCAGCTATTTTTTTTTAAAGGCAGGGGTAAGGCTTGAACTCACTATGTAGGATCAGGTTGGCTTCCAACACAGAGAGATCTGCCTGCCTCTGCCTTTTGAGTTCTGGGATTAAAAACCAGAGCCACTGTGCCCAACCTTTGTTTGACTTTTTGATACAGGGCCTCTTGCTGCCCACGCTATCCTCCAGCTAACGTTGTGGCCCTCCCATCTCCACCTCTAGAGCGCAGGCATTACAAGCATGTGGCATTGTACCTTGCTTATGACATACCCAGGGAGCAGTCTACCAACTCTGTCCCCAGACCTCTCACTGTTTTCAGGGGTCCCACATCCTGGCCCTCACCTGGAATTCTTCCTCCAGCACCACCATCTGCCGGTCTTTGTCCACTTTCACTGGAGAGGGATAGAACACAGGTTACAGGTCCCTCCCATCCCAGGGGACATTAGCCCAGCCCTCCCTCCCTGTCACCCCTGCCCCACCCTTCCATAGGGCAGAAGTCACTGACTTATGATGGCTGCATTGTCGGTCTCTTTTCGGAAGCGGAATTTCCTCAGCTTTTCCTTTAACTCCGGGTCCACTTCACACACCACCAGGGAGTCCGACTGCCAATGGGACAGGTAGGAGTTGAACTGGCTTGGCCTCTAGCCTGGCTCCTTTCCTGACTCAGTTTCCCCATAAACCAGGGGAGAAGCTGAAGCTAGCCCATGTGAGAGGACTTTGGCAAACACCTCAGTGGGTGCCAGTCACTGGGACACACGGCTCAGCTCCGGGGTATACACAGAGGGCAGGTTCTACCTTCCTGATAGGTTCTCATGGATTATTCCAGAAAACCCAAGGATCTGCTTGCTTGGGGCCAAAATAGAACCACCACCTCTCTGCCCTAGCTATATCTTTTGCCTCAGCTGGGTACCTTCTTTCCCTGCCTGTGACCTTCATCCTCAGCTGACCTTCATCCAGGCACCCTCCTTGCCCCAGTCTACCCTAAACAGCAGGCCCAAGCCCTTCCTTGCCACCCAGGCCCTCTGACCATGGCTTTTCTGTCCTCAGGCCTCCTCTCAGTTCCGCTGTCTTCTAGGGGTGGGGACCCAGGCTGAGGGGCGGACTGGGAAGGGGAAGGCTTCACCTAACACCACATCCTGTTTATGCCCAGCCTGGGACAACTGTCACAAAGGGCTCCTCCCCTTCCTTCCTTCCCTGCATCTGCCAGAACCCAGGAGGCCTTGTGGCCACTGAGATGGAGGTTCGAATACACGGTGAGGCTTGCCCCACTGTCTGGCCCTAGCTAAGGAAATCCACCACTCTGGTCTGGGATCGCTGTGAAGATAATAGCTTCAGCTATCCCCCAAGTTGATAGACGTGCCCAATCGTTAGCAAGTCCGGTGTTGTAGAATACACCTTCAGTTCCTGCACTTAGGCAGAAGCAGGAGGATCTTTGTGAGACTGAGGTCAGCCTGGTCAGTATAGTGAGTTCTAGGACAGCTCTTCCAGGACTACTGTTAGAACATAGTCCAGGGATGGAGCTGCGTGAGGATTCTGAGTGCTTATGACAAACTGCAAGAAAACTAGACAGGCATCTTGTGACCTCTGTTTCTTCAAAACATGGTTTTTGTTTGCTTGTTTGTTTTTTGGTTTCTCGAGACAAAGTTTCACTGTGTAGCCCTGGCTGTCCTGGAACTCACTCTTTAAACCAGGCTAGCCTAAGACTCAGAGAGCCTCTTCCTCTGCCTCCCTGGTACTGGGATGAAAGGCCTGTGCCACCATGACTGGCTAGGTCTCCGCCTCTTTTATCAACTTCACTCTCCAAGGTCTCACAGTTTCTAGAGTGGTGACTGACTACAAAGAGAGACCCTGTCTCAAAAATAAATAAAAGTGGTATATAATGTATTTATTCCAGCACTCAGGATGGCTGCAAGTCTGAGGTCACCTGGTTGACAAGAGTGAACTCCAGGATAGGCAGAGTTACACATAGATACTACATCCCAAAAGACTGGAATAGGACCTGTGAGATGGCTCGGTGGGTAAGGGTACTTGCTACCAAGCCTGAGGAACTAGGTTCAGTCCCTGCGACCCACATGGGGAAGGTGAGAACCAACTCCCACAAATTATTCTATGACCTCCACAAGTGGGATATGGCATTTTCATGTATATACAAACATAAACAAATAAAAAATAATCTAATAAAAAATTTTAAAATGAGGGCTGAAGCAATGGTTCAGAGGTTCAGAGCACTGGCTGCTCTTCTGGAGGTCCTGAGCTCAATTCCCAGCAACCACATGGTGATTCACTACCATTTATAGGGGGATCTGATGCGCTCTCTGGCATAAAGTTGTACATGCACTCATATACATAAAACAAATAAATCTTTTGAAAAAATTTAAAAATGAAAGAGTAGTTATTAGTAGGGCATAGTGATGCATGCTTGTAATTCCAACACTTGGGAGGCAAAAGCAGGGGAGTGGAGAATTGCAGGCCATCCTGGCCTACATAGTTCAGCTTTTTGTCAAATGCAGCAAAACAGAGCCAGTCCTCCCACTCTAGCCTTTGGAAGATAAAGACAGGAGATCAAGAGTTAAGGCCACTTGTGGCTACATACCAAGTCTGAGGGCCAACAAGGACCACAGTGAACCCAGCCTGGACCTAGATCCTGGAGAGAGAGAGAGAGAGAGAGAGAGAGAGAGAGAGAGAGAGAGAGAGAGATCAAAAAAATTAAAAAAACAAATAAAACAAACAAACCAAAAACAACAGGGTTTCAGAGATGGCTCATCAGCTAAGAGCAGTTAAAAACATTGGCAGCCTGGAGGTGTTGGTGCACACCTTTAATCTCAACACTCAAGGCAGAGGCAGGAGGATCTCTGTGAGTTGAACACAGCCTGGTCTAGAGAGCTAGTTCCAGGACAGCCAGAGCGACACAGAGAGACCCTGTCTCGAGAAACCAACACCAACAAAAGAGCACTGGTCACCCTTGAAGAGGATCAGGGCTTGATTCCCAGCACCTACGCAGTAGTCAACTCCAGTTCCAGGGCATCCAACACCAGTTTCGGACCTCTGTGGGTACCAGACATACATGTCGTATACATACATACATGCAGGTAAAACACTCACACAAAATAAAATAAATCTTAAAGAATAAAAAGGAACAACAAGCAAAAACTTCAGAAAAATCTGATAAAACAAACAAAGGAGTGTTGAGGGGTTGTGTGTAGCTCAGCAAAGGCATGTGTTAACACACACAAGGCCTGGCTTTTTGTTCTCATGCAAACACACACACACACACACACACACACACACACACACGAAGTACTCATATTCCCGTCCCCTTCTTGAAATGGAATACTGGGTAATATGGCCTACTTAAGTGCATAAATTTTAAAAAATCATTTAATAAACCCAAGTGTTCTATAAAGAAGCTATACAAAGTACTTTATGAGAAAATCATACTTATTTTAGTGAAGAAATACAGGCAAGGAAAAATATTCCTAATCCCTAGATCCGCTTGGCTTTCTGCGCTGGCTCTCCTTTCTAACAGTGGACAGACCCCACCACTGGTCTCCACTCCACCTGCCAGGCCACCTCCACAGCTATTCTCTAACCCTTCCCGTAATCTGTCCCTGTCCCTTGATGACTCTCTCTCTCTGAGGTCTCGTGAAATGTTATTTCTTCCACTTTCAAAATGAACAGCTTCGTCTCCAGCCATGTGTGGTGAGACACGTGTAATTCTCAGGAGGCTGAGGCAGGAGTATTGGCCAGCTAGGGGTATATAAGAAGACACCGTCTCCAAAGACCAAAAATAAGGGGGGGATAGAGCAATAGTTAAGAGCACTGGCTGCTCGTCCAGAGATCTCACGTTCCATTTCCAAAACACACGTGATGTTTAAGAACTGTCTATAACTCTACTTCTAGGGGATCCAATGCCCTCTTCTGGTCTCCATGGGCACCAGGCATGCATGTGGCACACAGAAAAACACGCAGGCAAAGATCCATACACATACAATAAAAACTGATCTATAAACAAACATTAATCTAGCTGGCACCATAGCTCAGTTAGTGGAGTACTTGTCTAGCATGCATGCCCTGGGCACAATCCCCAGCACCATATAAACTATATAAAGTAGCACATTTAGCACTCAAGAGGAGCAGGCATGAGGCTCTACAGTTCAAGGTCATTCTTGGCTACCTGGAGAGTTAAGAGGCCCAACTGGGCTGAGATGTCTCAAAAATAAATAGCTGGGTTTGGTGGTGCATACCTTTCATCCAGGTACCCAGGAGCCAAAGGCAGATGGATCCTCTATGAATCTGAAGGCAGCCTGGTTTACACAGCCAAGTTCCAGGACAGCTAGGGCTACACAGTGAGACCCTGTCTCAAAACAAACAGGGTCACAGAGTTTGCTCAGTAGATTAAGGTGTGTGGTGCAAAGCCTGACCATGTAAGTTTGAACCCACACGGTAAAACAGAACTGATTCTTCCTGTTCTCTGTCACTTGCATGGCTTGGCAGCCACACCTGCTGCCGATTTTCTTCCAAACTTTCCCAAAACAATTGTCTATACTTGTTGCTTCCCAATTTTCTCTTAAACTCCATGCCACAATGCTAGCTTTTATTTATTTATTTATTTATTTATTTATTTATTTATTTATTTATTATGTATACAATATTCCGTCTGAACGTATGCCCACACGCCAGAGGAGGGCGCCAGATGTCAGTACAGATAGTTGTGAGCCACCATGTGGTTGCTGGGAATTGAACTCAGGACCTTTGGAAGAGCAGGCAATGATCTTAACCGCTGAGCCATCTCTCCAGCCCCTATTTTTAAACTTTTTATGTGTGTGTGTTTTCCTGCAGAAGTCAGAAGAGAATGACAGATTCCCCTGGAACTGAAATTACAGTTGTTAGTCTCCATGCGGGTGCTAGGAACTGAAGTCAGGTCCTCTGGCCTAGCAGTGAATGCTCTTAACTGCGGATCCATCTTTCACCTCAGAAAAATGTCTTTAAACAAAGCAAAGTTAAAAGTGTGTGGGGGGGTGTGGTTAGCTCACACTTGAAAGGAGAAGTGCAACTTGTATAGTATAAGAAAAAGTCTAGGCCAGTCACGACTAGAATGAGATCCTAATTCAAAAACTCCAAATCAAGTCAACAGATGGGACTTGTGATGTCCCCTGGTATGAAATGGCCTTTCCTTACCCTTTTCACACACACTCTCTCTCTCCCTTTCTCCCCCTTCCCTCCCCTCCCCCTCCCTCCTCTCCTCTCCTATTTTTGAGACAGGGTCACCTTATATACATAGACCAGGCTGACTTCTAATTTACAGAGAAGTCCCCCCTACCCCTCTGTCTTTGTTGGGATTAAAGGCTTGCACCACTATGCCCAGTTCCTTCTACTTCTTCTTCTTGCTGCCACTTCACAGTCTTCGTTTAGTGTCCATTTAAGTGTCCTCATTTTCAGAGTTCCGTCTGATCCTAGTCTTCATTCATCCCCCATACACTCTTTGGGAATGGTCACCCACTCCCAAAGCTGCAATTACCATCTCTAATGATCCTTAAATCCTGGTCTTCAGCCTGAGTTTGTGGCTGGGTGGGGCAATGCTCTTGATTTCGCTGTTGGGCGTCCTACACTGAGCTTCTTCTCTGGGACCCGATCTCCCAGAGAGCTTTGTCCTGGACCTTTCTCTTCCGCCCTGGGGCCAGCCAGTGTCAAAAGGCTAGTTCAGAGGGCCACCTAGGCGTCTCTCCCATCTCCTCCCCTCCCCAGGGTCCCTCCCAGATGCAACCTCGCCCCAACTACCCAGGTAGCTCCCTGGACTCCTCCGGCGTCCCGTTCCTTCCCATCCCACCTCCCTGTGTAAGCTAGAGGCGTCGCTTCTAAACTCCTAACTCAAGACCTCCCCGATCTTGAATCCCTTCCGCATTCCCCAAGTCACTTTCAGCACAAGTGCAAACTCCCTCCAGTGGCCAAACATCTGGTGGCTGCTCATTTCCTACTACTGCCTGTCGTAAACTAGACACTCCACCCTGACTGTATTTCTTAGGGTTCTCAGAACAAGCCACATTGCTGTCATTCTTCTGGAGCGCCGGCTCCTTTCTCAGTTCACCCCGACGCAGGACAATTTGTGGACGGACTAAGATCATGACCAAAGTGACGGGAGCGATCTCCATTTATTGACGGTCTCTTTTGTGCGGGGGGGGGGGGTGTCTTCTCTTCTTTCCACTCTTAAAGGGCCCACCTCGCTCATCTGTGTCACTTTAGGCGCGGCCGATCCGCATCAGGAGCCAGAATGCAGCATTGTCACCCCAAATGGCGAAGGCACTACACGGTACAGACCTAGGGCCGGGCGTGACCGAGGGGCGGGGAGGAGGGGGGCCCTGAACGCCAGAATGAGGAATTGTGACTCGGTTCCTCACCGCTGAGTTAGATGGCCGCGAGGCTGCCCCCTGCGGGCCCGGAGGCCCACTCGCGGGCTCCGCCAGCCTGTTGCCCGGGGCAACGCGGCGCGCGCCCCTCCCCTTCCCGTCCCTCTGCCCTCCGCCCGGGGCCTGGCCGTCTGCCCGTCACCCCCAAGTCCGACCAATCGCAGTGAGAAGAGGGCGGGCCTCCAGGCCTCGTTCCAGCCCCCATCTCTCCCTTCCCGGCCAGAACCCCGCCTTTCTCGCCGCACACCTCCCATCCTTCGGGCTGCCCTCGCCGCCAGTTGGCTGGGTTCGCCGTCCGTCAATCGGGTGTGAGCTAATGCTGGCGCGCAGTGTCCCTCCGGGGCGGGGCCAGGGGCGGTGACGCACGGCGCGGTGACGCAGCGCGACGGCGGCGGCGGCGGCGGCGGCGGTGGTGGTCGGTGCGGGAGGAGGGAGGGGAGCTCGCGGGCCGGAGAGGGGGCGACGGCGGCGACGGCGGCGGCTGCGGCGCGGGTGGCGGCGGCTGCCTGAGGAGGCGCGGGTGGTGGCGGCGGCGGCGGAGGCCGAGGCGGTGAGTCTCGGGCAGGGCCGGGCCGGCGGGCGCGGGGCGGCGGCGGTCGAGGCGCGCGGCGCTCCCCTCAGGGCGACCCAGGCCGCGCGGCCGGCCCCGCCCCCTCAGGGACCCGGCGTCGCTGGCTGCGGCGGGCGGCGAACTCGGGCCTCGGCAGGCCGGGGGAGCCCGGAGGACCCTTTAGGACCCCGCGTTCAGCCCACTTCTCCCCACCCGGGCCCCTTCCTCAGCTTCTCCCCCAAGCCCTCACGCCCCGGGGATAGTCGAGGGGCCGGGCGGGGACCTCTGTCTTGACCCGGCACGCATCTGCCTGGTCCTCCCGCACGGCTCCTGCGGCCTCCCCGGAGACCACCCTCAGCTTTCAACTGCCTCCTCCGGGGACCTTCCCTATGGATCCCCGCCCTTTCGTCCCTGCCCCCCCCCCCAATCCTCCTCCTGTATCGCTACACATTCCTTGATGGCTACTCCTCGTCAGTCTCCGCAGCACAGATCTCAGGCATCTCCCTCAGGAACCTCCCTGGAACCCCCAAACAGCCCCCAGACACCTCTTCGGCATTTAGACCCCTCCCCAATCTCATCACATATTCCATCCATCTCCCTCATACTTCCTCTTCACATACCTCAGGTTTTTACCCTCTCATCCTTCCTCATTCTAGAAATCTTAGAGATTTTCGCTCTTATCCCCCAAATCCTTGAGAATGCCCCGGTGAACCCTACATCTTCCTTGAGAAGCATGCGTATCCCAGAGCAATCTTCTTCAGATACTATTGAAATGCTCATCGATCCCAAAACCCACCTGGAGGACCACTCCTCTCATTGCTTCCATCTCTCATATGCACCCCACCCCCTTGTCATATCTCTTGGACCCTAAAAATCCGGCCCAGAGACCTCATGTTCTGCAAATCTTTCCCACCTTGGAATGCTGTAGACTAGATCACCTCTATGTACCCCAACTATTTTCTCCTGAACCCCCACACCTACTAATCTTGAAAGTCTCCAGAGAGCTCCTCTCATATTCCAAAAACCTGTTCCAAATCCCCTCTTATGTATCCCAATTCCTTTCCAGTAACACACACCACATATTTTAAAAAATTGTCTAAGGACTCCAGAAAGTTCCCTCACAGCCTCTGTATTCTCTAGAACTCTTCTTGGATAACCCGAAAATCTGAAACTACCCCCTTGTAGCCTTAGATAGCTTTCTCAAGCTCCTCTGTACAACCCTGAAATATCCCTCTGAGATACAGCCTTCAGGATGCCCTAGCATCAGAAACCCCGGTAACCCTGAAACGGCCCTTAAAATACTACTCAGAAACCCTGACATCCCTAGGACCTTTGGATCTATTCTTTGACTGTCTTACTAAAAGACTTTCTCCTAGCTATCTCTTCCTCAGAGCCCCCACCCCCCACTCTCCATAACCATCTTTAGAAAGCCTTCCACACCTACCTAATCTTCCTTCACTGTGAATGAACGTCCAGAATATTTTGTGAAAAGCCTACTCTGATAACACCAGGTCTTCTCTAGGAGTCCTGTCCCACCCTATCCCCTGTGTGCTCTTTTTAACTTTACTTGAGGTTACTCATCAAAGCCACCTCCCCATGTGGGGTGTGTGAGTGTGTGTGTTTGTGTGTTTAAGGATCCCTCTGTCAGGACCTCTCTCAGAAGACCACTCCTTTCCCAAGACACTCTTTAGAGAAATTTCCTCCCAAACTCTGTGTCAGTAATCTCTGATACTTTCTGGGAACCCTCCCTCAGTTTTCCCCTCTGACATTCCCAATCTTATTTCAGGGCTCTGTTAGATTAATCCTAATGAGGATAAATCTGTTCTCACTTTCTCTTATTCTCCCATTCTCATTCCTTTGGAATCATAGACATTTCTAGAGCTCAGCCTACTTCCCCCACTATTTCTTCAGAGACCCCAGCATCCTTCAGATTCCCAGCTCCCCAATTCCTCTACTTCTGGAAATTCCAGTGCTTGGAGACTCTTCTGTCAGATTGACCTTCCTTCCTTCCTTCCTTCCTTCCTTCCTTCCTTCCTTCCTTCCTTCCTTCCTCATCCTCATAGGTCTCTCTCCTTTCAGACATGGAAAGATCTTTAACACTCACTTAGAGACTTGTTGAGGACTTTGATTTCATCCCTTTCATTTTTGAAGACCCCTTACTGAAGAATTCCCTTTCCCTTCTGTCAGTGGCTCTCAAAGTATGGTTAGAACTGCAGCAGCACTGGTTGGAAAATGTGAATTCTTGGGTCTTACTCAGACAGAATCAGAAAACTTCGGAGGAGAGCCCAGCATTCTGAGTTTTTAATAAATGATCCTGTTGTTTCCGATGTATGCTCAAGTTTGAGAACCACTGCTTCTAAGAGGTTCTCTCTTTCTCTGTAAAAAGTCCTATAAGAGCTCTAAAGATGTGCCTCTAAGCGCTGCTATGCCTCCCTATTTTCCTGGGAATCTACTGTGTGAAGTACCCATCCTCCAGAAAGACTTCTTACCCACTTTGAAAGATCTTGGCTTCTCCACAAGGTTACCCCACCCTCTGAGTAATTACTTCAGATTCTGCCTTTGAATGGTCCCCTTTCAGCTCTTCCTCAGCACTTTCTCCTTCTACCTGCCCCTCTGGCCCACCCTAGAGCTTTTGCTGCTTTTGCTTTAAATTGCTACCTCCTTGAACACACATGTCCCACTCATTTCTCTCTCTTCATGTGGGCAACTTCAGGTCTTCTGTGTCTTAACTGCCAAGGGCCCTCCGTGCACTTCACAGAGCACCAGTCACTTTCCTGCTTGTAGTTTATATTGACTTAACCCTCACTGGACAGGAAGCTAGAAGGACAGGCTGTATCTGAATGTGCCAGGTGTTCCAGGGAACTAGCGAGCAGTACACTGTCCTGCCCCTTCTCCCTTTCATCCATCACTCTGTTCAGTCCCCTTGTCTATCCTCCTGCCCACTGCTTCTGTTCATGGAACTTTTCTTGGCGCTGATTCTGAGCTGTCCTGTGTTCTCTTCTGGTGACCTACCTCACCCCATCTTGGTTAGCTTTGCTCAGTCTCTCTTTGAGATCTCTATAGTACTCTCAACTTTTTCCAAGAGAATCCATTCCTCTGTAGGGCCAAGAAAAAGAAATAGAAAAGCCCAAGATAAACTCTGTCTTTAGGGGGCTCACTGTCTAGTAGAGGGCTTGGGCACGTGCACCACAGAGTACATGAGATGTAGATTATATGCTGTGGGGATTCAGCTATTTGGAAAGACTTCATGGGAAAAGTATTTAGGTGAGGTAGTGTTTCATGGGAATCAGGACCACAATGAGGGGCTCCTAAGCAGGGAACACAGTTTAAACACTATGCTTTTGTTTTTATGGTGCTGGGAATTGAACTCAGGACCTAAGGCACAAAAGACAAGTGGTTAATGACTGAGCTACATCTGAAGCCTCAAGAAAGCATCACTCTCACCCATAGTTTCTTCTGTATATGAGCAGAGTTGAAGGAAGCACTCTTTCATTTGCTGCACTGGAGTGACCCACAGATGTAACAGGGATTGCTGTTTACTGACTACTTATGTTTGCTAGGTACTGTTCAAGTGCCTTGTCCGTGTGGCCTCATACCCACGGGACCCTGAGGTAGATAAACTACGATTATCTTCATTTTACATATGATGAAGTGAAGGACAGGCGGGGCTAATAGAAGGTCTGTAGGCCCTGCCCATTTCAAAATGATAGTGCCTTGGGTCAGAGAGTTGGATTTTCTATTTGGATAGGGGTTGGGCGTGACCCTTATGTTTTCACAACTGAAAAAAATGAAGGTGATAATGATATCTTACTTTATGGACTAAGTTAATGGATGTAAAGTACTTAGAACAATGTCTTACACATGCTTGAGGGCTGTGAGCAGAAAGTAGTTAATGCTAGCCAAGGTAGAATCTTAACACAAAGTAGTTTAAAAGAGATTTTGAACACCAGCAGGCATGGGAGGGAGGTGTGCAGGGAAGTGGGGTGAGGGTTAATTGACCCATATTACTGAAAAATCCAGACTGCTTATAGCTGCATCCAGAGGTTCAGATAATAATCCTGACCTTCACATTTCTCCACTAAGTTAGTCGCTTCTTCCTTAACAGGTTTTTGCTTGTGGTGACAGATACTACCCTCAGCAACCCCAGCTTTAAACTCTACCTCTTTAGCAGCTGCAGTGGGAAAAAAAAAAAAAAAAAACTCTTAGAAGTCCCAGTTTGAAACAGTTTTTCTCCCTAGTAGTTATGAGACAGTTGATGATACTTGGCTATGTTTGGGGTTCTGTGCTCTGCAACTGGCTCTCTTACTGAACCATATAGGATTGTGAGTCCGCCCCATGAGCTTTATGAGTATTGGCGGTTCTTTTCTCTGTCCCCACTTCCACTAATCCTCTGCTCTGTGATTATTTGGGTCCAAAGAAATATAATGGTCAATATGATCCTACAGACTTTGTTTCTGGCTCTCATTAGGAGAGGCAGGAAGGAGATGAGTGTCTTGATTTGCTGGCTTTAGAACATAGAATGTAAGTCTGGATTTCTAGGGCCTAGAACTTTGGAGAGGTTTTGTTTGTTTTAGTGGAAACTGGTCAAATAGATTGTGGTTGAAAGTAGGTTATAAAACAGCAATAATATATGAACTATGCAAGGTTTTTTTTTTCTTTTTTCTTTTCTTTTTTTGTGAGGAAGGATTTTTTTCTGTGTAGCCCTGGAACTCACTCTGTAGATCAGACTGGACTTGAACTCAGAAATCCTCCTTCCTCTGCCTCCCAAGTGCTGAGACTAATGGTGAGCACCACCACTGCTCAGCAAACTAGAACTATGCAAGTCTTAAATATCCCTATCAGTGAGTGATTGTTAAGTAATTTATAGGGGGAGATATTTTAGATATTGGAGATATAGCTGAGAATGAAACAAAGACTTGAAACTCACAAAATTCTTATTTTGATGGAGAAGAGCAAGTACTGCATTAAAAGGTGGCTCATTAGGTAAAGGTATTTGCCTG